TATTTTTTTCAAACGTAACACTATAATGAATGTAATCTCAAACATAATACTCTAATGTAACACACTAAAAAACTACTTAATGTATTTTTTCCAAGCGTAACGCTGATAATTTGAAATTATACATTTACCCAAAGTTTATTAAGGAATTTTTCCTTTTGGAATAGTTTGAAAAATCTCACACCTTTTTTGGAATAGTTTAAAGAATCCCATATCCTGTTTTTGAAGTGTTATATTGGATTATTATGTTTAGAAAAAGTACAGTAATAAATTTTTGTGTGTGTTACATTGGACTTTACACAAAGGGATTTTTTTTTGGAATGTTACATTGGAAAAAATACAATGAGTTTTTTTGAAGTATTACATTGGAGTGTTATGTTTAGAAAGAGTACACTAAGGAATTTTTTTGAAGTGTTACAGATTGAAATTATACATTTGCTCAAAATTTTCTAAAGAATTTTTGTACTCCTTTTGAAATATTTAAAGAATTTCACATCTTTTTGAAATGTTTGAAAAATCTCATATTTCAAGACATTTTTATACTATTTTTGAAATGTTTAAAAAACCTTATATTTCAAGTCATTTCAAATAAAAAAAATTCTCATAAATTGTACATCTTACATTTCTAGAAGAAAATTTTTAAGACTAATTGAACCACCATTCTTCGGGATAGAATTTATAACTAAAATTTTCTAATAATTTTTCCTTTACTTAAAAAAGAAAAAAAAATGTTGTTGAATAATAATATCGTAATAGTTCAGTAACCACACACAAACCAAAATGTCAATAGTACAGCATAGGAGGAGGGGATTTAACTTATAATCTTTAGATCCACTTCCTAAGGAGTTGGCAACCACCGGCCCCAACTGGAAGCCTTTTATTAAATGCATAAAAAAATTGAAGTACGAGATTCATTTGATTTGCTGATATGTTTAAGGCTTATTTTGGGAAGATGGTAAAAAGTAGTTTTTTGACTTTTAATTAAATTTTTGGCTTTTTTAAACAAATGATTTGGGAAGTTGGTAAAAAGTGACTTTTGACTTTTTTTATTAATGTTTGTTTATGATGTCAAATCATAATAAAATGACGAAACTACCCCTATTTATTTAAAATATTTACGACTTCACTTATGTAACACATTTTGACTCATGAGGGTAAAATTGTAATTTCACCGTTGGCTAAAAACCAACTTTCCAAATGAAAAAAAAAGACAAAAAAGCTAACTTTTGACTTTTGCTACAAACCAAAAAAAGTGACTTTTAGCCAATTTCCCAAAATAGCCCTAACACTTTCTGCAAAATTTTCAATTTTTTAATGCTCTTTTGGTAATGACTGTTGGGATCCATAGTTTTATTATAGACACCGCCGGTTGATGATCACTTGGTCATACAAGCTTCAAAGTCAAAAATATTTGATGAGTGGAATTGTTTAACAATTAAGTACTTAAGAAAAGTACTTTAAATAATATTTTAAAAATTTAAGTGTGTGGACCATGGTATGACTCAAGCTGTGTTAAATTTGAATATAAATAATTTATTTCATTTTTAAGATTATTTTTTGAAAATACAATTTCGGAGTGCATATATTTTCTCATTCTAGATGCAACTTATCATTAGTAATAAGAAATTTAAGTAATTTTTTCGTCGATTTTAGCAAACTAATGACAAAAGGGCGACATAATAATGACATGTGAAATTGTATTTTGATTTCTTTATAACTACTCTAACATATTTTTATATTTTTTTATCAACAACAAAAAGAAACTATATTGAGGAGAGAAAACCCTACATGAAGGAAGAAAAACATCAATCAAGGGGAGGCTAGTGCAGAGATTATCATAGTGCAACAATCTAATCCCAACTAGGTTAACACTGAAAAGTACATATTGTTAAATTTGACAAGAAATACACAAAAATGAGATATTTGTTCATAAATCTTTCTTCATTTACTTATGTTCCACTTAATTTAAATTATTTTTCTATGTTCAAATAAGTCTTATGGGTGACATAATTATCAAAATAACCCTAATAATAATATTCATATTAACAGTGTGAATGTTCCGTAATGTGAACATTCACACTGTCAATGTGAATGTTCGTATTGTCAATATAAGTTTTCACACTATAAAATATGAATGTTTATTTACCAAATTGCTAAGCATTTAAAAAATGTTTATAAATATAAAATTGTTCATAAAATATCTTAAATATAAGAATTATAATTTGATAAATCAAATGTCTAAATAATATGAATTATTAGAATGAAATAATATATTATAAACTAATTAAAACACGAGTAGTTGAAAAATAATTTCCTAACAAATCTCCCCACAAAAGAAACCATACTTGACCAATTTGCTATTCGTTGTGCAAAATTCGGCACAATTGGAGGATCATGCCAAAATTTAACGCAATAGTGTTTGATTATTGATTTCTTTAAATTTTCTATATTGACTCAAAAAATAGCACTGAGTCTATTTTTTAATTAATAATTTAATAAAAAATTAATTTTAATAGTTCTTTAAAAAAATACTAATTGTTATATTAAAATATTTTTAATTCAAAATACAATTTAAAGACATTTCAACAAAAATATCAATATTCGAATTTGATTTATTTTATTTAATTTGCATTTGAATTAAGCTAATGAACTGAAATTTTTAAAAATATTAATTAATGAAATACAAATTTTTAAATAAAATTTTAATTTAAAGACATTACAAATACATATAATTACATACACAATTATATTGTACAGTAAAAGTCGAATCATATTAAAAAATGGTATAATTATTGTCAGAATAGGTCTGTCAAAATAACATTTTAACATTGCAACGTGCCAAAATATAATAATAGCTCAATTGAAGTAGTATAACCTATTGGAGATAGTGTTAGCGCAACTCCAACAAAAAAAAGCAATAAGGCTTTTCAAAGTTATTTTTAAGGTAATATTAGGGATATTAAATTTTTTATTAAATAAATGATCAAATGTCTCATATGGGTGTGGGATCCGTAATTTTGTGAGCCTTACACCCATATGAGACATTTGATCATTTATTTAATAAAAAATTTGAGACTTTTAGCATTTTTTTTATTTTTAAATTAAGATATCTCAGAAATTCTTTTTCAATGGTAAGTCAAATACCTTGTCAAAAATTTCTCAAAAAATTGACAAGGTTGTGTCAAATTTGACTTGAAGTTGGAAAAGCCACTTTTGCCAACTAAATCAAATTATTTATTTATTTATTATTTAATAGCTAAAAATTGATATGAGAATTAATTGTGTTAAAATAGCATGTAAACCATTGGAATGAAATAACTAAAATAAATAACTTTCTTGTACAAATCAAAAAATAATTTTGACAAAACTATTTTCACTTTTACGATTGAATTCCTCATTACATTTTATATTTGGGCAAATTATAAACACCCCCTTGAGATTTGGTAAAAATACAGATTATCCCCTGAGGTTTGAAAAATTACAAATGGCCTCCTGAGGGTCAAATTTGTATAACAAATTAGGGGGAATCTATATGAAAATAAAAACTTCAGGGAGCAATTTGTTATGGAAATATAAACCTCAAAAGACGAGATGTAATTTTTTAAACCTCATGAGAAAACTGTATTTTTACCAAACCTGGAAGGGGTGTTTGCAATTTACCCTTTATATTTATGGTACAATTGAGTCATTAGTAATAAGACAAAAAACAAATTGTGTTTATGATTAGCCCATTTTCCGCTATTGTGCGGTACATTAACACTAGGTGTGACTCTGGAGTTATCTGAAATGCTGGCCTCCGTTTGATTTATTTTTAAAATTATGATTTAAATATAAAATTGTATTTTGAGTTATGACTTTTAAATTAAGTTTCTAAAAAAAAAAATCTATTTAGTTATAAGTTTTAAAAATAGTTTTGAGTTGTATTAAAGTTTGAGTTTTGAGTTGCATTTTAAATTTATTGAATTTATTTTTTTAAAATATTTAAAAATTTTCATAGTTTTATTTTTTTAGGATAAATATTTTTTATCGTAAATATTTATTTATTTTTTTAATGTGCGTTGTATTTATTACATGTGTGCGTTGTATTTTTTAGAACAAAAACACAAAAAATTACAATTGAATCAACACAATGTTTTATGCCATTTGGCTGGTCAGCAACCCTCCCACAACTTCCCAGAGTGGAGTTTCACACATCTTTTGAGATTTTGAAGTTTCTAAAAGAAAAAATCTATTTAGTTATAAGTTTTAAAATAGTTTTGAGTTGTATTAAAGTTTGAGTTTTGAGTTGTATTTTAAATTTATTGAATTTATTTTTTTAAAATATTTAAAAAATTTCATAGTTTTATTTTTTTAGGATAAATATTTTTTATCGTAAATATTTATTTATTTTTTTAATGTGCGTTGTATTTATTACATGTGTGCATTGTATTTTTTAAAATATTTAAAAATTTAAAATGAGTTTTATTTCTTTATTTTAAATATATAATTTTTAGTTTAAATATTTTTTATTTTAAATATTTTATTTTATTTCTTAAATATTTTAATTCTTTTTAAATTTTAAAGAATTTTGGATCGCTGTGTACATATATATATATATATAAACAATAACAAATTATTTAACCAATAGTTAAAAAAAATAACAAGATATTTTTTTTAACAAAGAAAAAAAAAATCGTTTTTTAAAATAAAAATAAAATAAAATAATTTAACAAAAAAATTAAATTTTTTTTAATAGAGTTTTGGAATGAATTTGGTTATGAATTTTAAAAATAATTTTTTAAGTGAGTTTTGAATTGTGTGTTTTATTATGAGTTTTGAAATTTTTTTATTAGATTCACCATTTCAAAACTAAACCAAACGCTTTGGAAGATAGGTTAAAGACATTTCAACCAAACAAAAAAAAAAACAAAAACAAAAACATAAAAGAAATGAGTATATATACACGTCTATAGCTTCAAAATACCACGCTAATGGTTTGCCCGACTAATACGGGTGCAAAAAAATTAGCAAAACGAGGGGACACTATATTGATTATGAAATGATATTATCAATGCATTTAGCTGAATAGTTGGTAAACAAATCACTAAAGAATTAGTAAAACTAAAAAGTACAAAAATAGAAAGGGAAAATTATATAAGGTAACAAGAAAACATAATTTAAATTAAAAAAAAAAAAGAAAAGGAAAATAAAGAAAAAGAAATGGTTTAAGAAGTTTTGGATGCATCTTGATCAGGGGAAGCAGGAGCTGTCCAATACAACTTCACTGCAAACAGAAGCTTCTCCCTCACTAATGGTCCATCTTCATGGTCAACTATCTGACTATCCCAATTCATTCCATCTATGATCCTCTTCACTTTAATCAATATGTCAACATCATCTCTGAATATTACACTTCCTTCTGGCCTCAAAATTCTATCCATCTCTAGCAGAATATCCTCAATTTCACATCTGCCACACAATTTATACTCAATATTAGAAGCTGTACAGCACTACTACAGTTTACATGATAGGCCCTAAAATATCTCTATTAAGAAGAAAATCTCTGAAATTGATTGACCTGTTCTTGTACAGAGTGAACACTGAATCGGCATGAATGAGATCGTAAGTTCTAGGATAAGTAGACATTGCTTCACACCTGCAAATTAAACCAAAATCTTAGACAACGCAATCTTATAAACATTATTATGTACATAAAGAGAGCAAATGAATTGATTGTTAGGTTTAATTACCAGCTCTGGTATGTTCCAATCAATCCACGTTCAAAAATAGCTCCAAGGGTGTTGATCTTGGCCTCAGGTGGAACAATATTCATGACCCAAACAGGGTCATCAACTAGAGCAGCAGCAAATCCACCTAGGTAGGCATTCATGTCGAGCAGGTTTCTGTATCTTCCGGCTTGCTCGAGTTGATTATTCACGGTTTTGTAGTATGCTACTCTCCTCTTCCATAACTGGTTATCTTGTTGGAAAACCTCTGCTGTTACTCCTTTCACTGTTCCTCTGTTAATCCTAGGGGGTACTACATTCAATCTCTTTGGCCAATTTGCCAATTCACCACCAGAAACTTCTTGATTGTTGGAAACCTCAGGCAGAGGAGTCAAGCAAGTCTCTATATTTGTGTACCTAAAAAATGGTCAAGTTTCAATGTACTTGAGCATGATTGTGTATGTGCATATTGCAATTTAAACATATTGTTGCACAAATGAATACAAAATAGCATAGTCATTGAATAGCAAAAAAGGACAAACCAGGCTCTGTCAGGATCCTGGGCAGGGCAAAAGGGTGGGTTTTGGGTGATCTTCCGGTTAGCTTTACACTGTAAATGATTGGTGGGTTTTTGCCATATAGAAATGTCATCCTGCTCCACCAACTTGTTCCAGCAGAGGCTGCTGGCTACATTTTCAATACCAGTCTGTTCAGCATTCAGATCCTCCTTTGTTCTCTCCCATCCTTTCCAATATTTCTTCCAGCGGATCGGGGGACCAGAGAGGATCCAGTATCCACCGGGCCTTAGAACTCGGTCAACTTCCATCAAGTAAATGCCACCTATGCCATGGTACAACAAAATACAATTACAGTTCTGAAATTAATGTGCAATATCTAATATTACCGTAGGTTAAGCATACTTGTGACATTTTTTTGTATAATTTTAAGTGAGAACAACAATTTTAGTGTGTTGATAATTGGGGCAATGGGATTTTACCATGTTGGCCCCATGGAATGAGGCAACGAGAGCAGTGAGCCATGTCGAAAGCTCTTGACGGGTAAGGAAGCCTCTTGGAGGCAAGGACTCCAATCAATGCAGGTACACCTCGCTCCAAAGCAAATTGAACTTGAGCTTCATGTGTGTCCCTTGGCGCGAATGACACTGTAAGGATGTTTCGTGATAGAAGATAAGCACCCCAGCTCGCAACCTGCATTAATATTAAAATTGCAACAATATAGAAGCAAAGTTAATGATTTAAATGGCTTCAAAATTTAGATTAGATAATGGTCAACGATTGAACAAACAGAAATAAAGTTCCATCTTTTGAGCAGCTGTCCACCCACATTATGGTAGAAAGGGTAATTTTGTACTTTTAAAACTCCTTTGGTTTATGTGGGTTTTTTTTTTGGGTGGTATTTGCTTAATATTTTCTCAATTATAAATGAATTATGCTTGAAAAGAAGACAACTAAAGATTAAAAAAATAACTAATTTCCACGGCTTTTTCCTAAAATTTTAGATTTTTCTTTCAGACTTTTTTTTTTTTTTTTAAATTTAGAAATTTATTCTAATTCTAAAATAACATAAAAGCAGTGAGCCATGTCGAAAGCTCTTGACGGGTAAGGAAGCCTCTTGGAGGCAAGGACTCCAATCAATGCAGGTACACCTCGCTCCAAAGCAAATTGAACTTGAGCTTCATGTGTGTCCCTTGGCGCGAATGACACTGTAAGGATGTTTCGTGATAGAAGATAAGCACCCCAGCTCGCAACCTGCATTAATATTAAAATTGCAACAATATAGAAGCAAAGTTAATGATTTAAATGGCTTAAAAATTTAGATTAGATAATGGTCAACGATTGAACAAACAGAAATAAAGTTCCATCTTTTGAGTAGCTGTCCACCCACATTATGGTAGAAAGGGTAATTTTGTACTTTTATAACTCCTTTGGTTTATATGGGTTTTTTTTTTTTGGTGGTATTTACTTAATATTTTCTCAATTATAAATGAATTATGCTTGAAAAGAAGACAACTAAAGATTAAAAAAATAACTAACGACAATGCTACGTAGCTCAAATTTTGTGGCTCAAAAGTGGCTCAAATGGCCAAAACGACGTCGTTTTGAGTATAAAACAACATAAAAATGGCCAAAACGACGTCGTTTTGAGTATAAAACAACATAAAAATGGCCAAAACGACGTCGTTTTGGCCATTTAAGCCACTTTTGAGCCACAAAATTTGAGTTACGAGACATTTTCCTTATTCTAATTCTAAAATAACATAAACATGCCAAACAAAATAATAAATAAAAAATCATTAAATAAAAAAAGAGCTGAAAAAGATAAAATTCCAAAAGCACAAAAAGGCGGGCCAAACGATAATGGATAGGTTAGGTTTGGATTGCAAAATAACAATCCAATGTGGGGTCAAAATAAAATTACAAAAATGGAACAACGACAACGTGAATTTCTGGACATCCACTTGATGATTTGTTTATGTCGAGAATAGGACCAAAAAGAGTGGGTGTCCAGATTCCAGAATGCTAGCCCTACGCACTTAAAATAGCCAGGGTAACCTTACCCCCCCACCCCCACTGGTTCACGCCATATCTATCTTTGGTTAGAATGCAGAAACATGCATGCAGCATACCAAAAGTTAAATTTATGATGAGTCTTCTCTACTTAAATCTTCTGTTCCCTTAGGACTGTTTTGGCAATATGATTAAAAGTCAATTTTTAATTTTTAATCCAGCTTAGATCATATCATTTTTTATATTTTTTATTTACTAAAAGATAAAAAAGTCAAAAAAAATCAACTTTTAATCAATTTTTAAATCATCTTCCCAAAACACCCCTAATTTTCATATTTTTCCCCATAATTTTAATGTATTTTCAAAATTTTTGACTCTCTAGATCCTCATCACATTGTGTGATTCGACAGAGTATGTATTAAATATACAAATTTGAATACAGAATCTTATTTTAATATTAGATACTATTTTGATGATGGGGTATTCGGAAAAATTAATAATTCATTACAATAATTTCTAATAGATATTAAACCGTGCAATTTGGACAGGTAGACTTGTACACACAGATTTCAATTTAACAATTGGATCTATTCATCTGTTTTTAAAATTTATGAATTGATGATTTGTGAACCATGCGTACATTTTTTTGAAAAAAAATAATAGACTACATAATTTTATTAAAGACAAATATGAGCTTAATTTGATTTTTTTTATAAATAATTTAGAAAAGATATTTATGAATAGCACAGGTAATGTTTTAACTTATTTAGCAGAATAAAGATATACCTAACAATTAGTATATTAATGAGTATATTAGTGGATGATATAATATAAAATAATTTAAAAATATTTGACTCTATAATTTATATAATGGCCGTGGTTCATCACCAAGGATCCTCTAGAGTGAAATTTTTCTAAAGTTTCCTAGAGTACTACATTGTATGGTTGAGATTTACTGGCAAGTCACATCAGAAAAATTGATGTGATTTGCCAGTAAATCTCAACCACACAATGTAACACTCTAGGAAACTTTAGAGAAAAATCACTCTAGAGGATCCTTGCTCGTGGTTCATAGACTCAAAATGATAATGTCACACACTAATTGATATACTAACATATTTTATAACATTCTGAATTCAAAACTATAACCCCATTTATTATATAAACTATGCAGACTCAAAAACTCTAAAATTTAGTTTATGAACATTAATACATATAACTTTATTCATATATACATATATATTCCCCAGATGAGCCTTCAATTGAGATGAGATGAGATGAGACAAACCAGTCATTGAAAGTCAAAAATAAATTAATTAAAAAAAAAAAAAAACGACAAATGGAGTTGGTAAAATAATGGAGGAAAAGAAAAGGTATTATTATTACCCCACAACCCGTATCAATGGCAGTTCTGATAGAGCCATCTCCGAGATTGATCAACTTGCCAATGTCGTCGATGTAGGCATCAGCACCGTTGGGGAACATGGTACCACCACCAGGGAATCTGAAACGGTCACCTTCATATCTGATCCAGTTCTGAACAGCCTTCTCCACCGTCAAATCCTTGTGTGGCACGTTGGCGTACCAAGCCAGATCCCTGCTCAGAGGCCACTTGAATGGGTATTTGTAACCGTACGGCGCTGGCACACGGCACTTCAACACCTCTCCTTTCTCCGGGCAGTGCCTCTCTCTGTAAATCAACCTGTCTCTCTCGAACTTCAACGATCTCTGTGCGTCCTCGCACGGAGTGTACTCGCTGTACTTCACGTCGCACGCCGGGAACATTTTTACGCCGTCCTGGGGAAGCGCCAAGGCGCCGCCGTCGTCCGCCGCGTGGTGAGAGGCGAAATCGATGGCCGACTTGGAGGTGGATGTGATGTGGTTGTTGTTGTTATTGGTTTTGGTAGTTGTGGTGGTGTAGTTGTTGGTTTGGGAGATACAGGGGATGGTGGCGCCGAGGTTGGAAGTGGTGGTGGCGCCGTCGTTGTTTCGCCAGAGTCCGAGGGAGTAAGAGATAGAGCAGAGCAAAGCGATGAGGAGTAATGGAATGACATTGGTTTTTTTCCAGAAAGAGGAGGGTTGGTTGGGTTTGGAAGTTGGGGTGTAATATGGTGCTGAGTGTGAACCAGCCATGGCTATTGACCACTGTGTATGATTGCTCTCTCTCTCTCTCTCTATGTCTCTGTGTTTGAGACTCTTGTGTATATATCGGAGGTGGTAAGGGTGAAGGGTGGGTGGATGGATGGGGTGTGTGTTATAAGAAGGGGTTGAAGGGAGACGGGTTTTGAATCAAGTCGGTCATGTCCATGTAGTGTGTCTATGTATTTATATATTTTATTACCTACAGATTATATTATTCTATACAGAAATGGAAGTGGGGAAGGTGAAGAGAAAGTGAGAGGTGGGTTTGAACTTGGGAAGAGAGGGCGTGGGGAGAGAGGAATAGGAAATGGGCGAGAGAAAGATAGCGCGCGTAAAGAGAGATATAGGAGCAATTTGGGAAATTGCTAAAAAGCCATTTTGGCTTTTTATTAAGTTCTCTAAAAAAAAAATAAATTAAAAAAAAACACTAAAAAACATCTTTTTAAAAAAGTAAAACAAAACAAAATAAATAAAACACTCAATCAGTGAGCCAAACAGTGTCTCATTCCTACCCTAAAACCCATCCCTCAATTACAGGTTTCTGCCAAAATCTGCAGAACAGTAAATAAACAAAAACATATTTATTAATATATGTATATATATTATAATATTAAATTTTTTATTATTTATTTATATTTTTAATTATTTGAATTGTGTACATATCACATAACGAGATATTTTTACACTAGTTTCATTTTGTGACTTATATTCTATTATGGTGTTGCTTATAAAAAGATGTGTAAAAAAATTAAGAGATGATGTGCACTTATTTACTTCATGCCAAATAGTGTCTCTATCTCAAATAAAATTGTTAATTCTTCGAGTCTCATTAATTTTTAATAGAAAAAATTATCTTTAAAGTAATAGTTGTTCACTATTTGTAATTGTTTATAAAAGAATATGATTATGTAGCATTTATTTTGATTTTTAAAATTTCAAAAAATCATAACTTTTACCATATGTATTTATTTTTGATAAAATTTATATTTTTAGAATCAGCATACAGAAATTTATCAAACAAGATTAATATTAATTTTTTATTTACAATTTTCATAAAAACTAACCATAAATTAAAATTTTAAAAAATAAATAATTTCTTTCACACATAAACATACATAAATAAATTAAGAAATATCTCAATTACGGAATTAAGAAAACTGAGAATTTTATTAATTGACAAAACAATTATATAGAACATTTTATGTGCAAAATTGATAAACTTCTTAGTTTTACTGGATAATTTTACAAATTGAGAAATTGTTAGTTTCGTATAGCTAAAAAAAATAATATTTTATTTTTATAAAATTTTATATTCAATATTGGTCTTATTTAATAGATCTTATTGTGTAGATTCCAAAATATAATTGTCATTAAAAATAAATGTGTATAATAAAAGTTATGAAATTTTTAAATTTTGAAACAACAAAACAAAAGTAATGTCACATAACAGCATCTCCAATGGTGTGCCATTGGAGCTGCTATTGCCAAATTATGGCAGCAGTTGATAGAAAGGCACCTTAAACGGCAAGTTTTAGCAGCTGCTATCTTTGGCAAATGCCAAAGCTTGTGTCAAATATGGCACAAGCTTTGGCAGCTGCCAAGCCATCTTCAACCAATCGTTTCTTTCATTTCGCTGCTATCTTTGGCAAATGCCAAAGCTTGTGTCAAATATGGCACAAGCTTTGGCAGCTGCCAAGCCATCTTCAACCAATCGTTTCTTTCCGTTCTCCCTTTTTCATCATCCTTTCAAAACACAGTTTCAATATTCACCCCAAAATCACACAAATTTCAACATATCAAACACAGAATTTCCAAACAATTTCCAACTTTCCAAATTTCAATATACCAAACACAGAATCACCAAATTTCAACATACCAAACATAGAATCACCAAATTTCCAATTTTTCAAATTTCAGTTTCACCAATTTGAAGCAAACAAAATTTAAATAAAAAAAATTAGAAAATGAACACAGTGAAGTCAAAAAAAAAAATACCTGACAGTGAGAGGGAGAAGAGAGACAGATGATCTTCTTTGTGTTCTTCGATACAGATGATACAGATATGTGATCTTCTTTGTGTTCTTTCATTCAGATGATACAATGAGAGAAACAGAGGGGTGGGAGTAGATGGCAGTGAGAGGGATAGATTTGGGTGTGGGTTTGTGAGATTTGGAGACATGGATGATCGATTTAGAGGGAACTAAGGCATTTGGAGGCAAATTTGGCAGATGGTAGCGATTGGTAGATGGCAGTAATTGGCAGAAGGCGGGGGGTTGTAGGAGTGAAAGAGAGTCAGATCTGGGTTCTAAGAGAGAGAGAGAGAGAGAAGTGTCTATCCGTGACAGAAAACGATCGATCAGTTAGATAGAGCAGAGATATAGAGAGAGATGAATGAGATAAAGACAGTGGGGGGTAAAGAGAGGCGGCGATGATGGGCGGAGAAGAGAGAGACGGAGAGTAGAGAGAGAGACTTTCGGTGATGGAGGAAGAAGAGATGATATCTGAAAGTGAGAGAGAGAGAGAGATGGAGACTAAGAGGGAGAAGGTGATGATGAAACCAAATAGAGAGAGACAAAGACTGAGAGTAAGAGAGAGAGAGAGAGAGAGAAGAGACACGTGGACGGTGGTGATGAAACCAAATAGAGCCGTTGTGCTCTGTTTGGCTAAAAAAAAGAAAAATAGTTTAGTATAATTTAATTTTTTCAATAAAGTACAATGAAAAAATAAATATATTTTTTCAAATGAAGGCAATAAAAAGATAAAATATATATTTTTATTTTTTTCCAATTTTTCAATTTTTTTTTCATTTTTTATATTTGTCTAGTCGGGAATAATATAAATATATAATTTTTTTTTACAAACAGTTAAAAAAAAGTCACAAAAGACAAAAAATAAGCAAAAATAAAATCACAAAAAAATCTATATCCAAACAACACCTACAAATTTGGAGGAAAAGTTGGTTGAGATTCGTCAAAATAGTAAATGATCATTGGAGCATCATTGCTATAATTTGATAAAATAGCACTATTCATTGCCAAATTATAGCAATAGTAATGACATTATAATAACAATGGTTGGAGATGCTGTGAGCAATCTCCACTTGAATAAAAGAAATTATCTACTGCTTTTGAGGCATGGTTAGGTGGTTACTAGAAGATTTGTGATAGATGGAGTGGGTGGGGCTCACAATTTTGTATTGGAGCATGAGGCATAATGCTTGGTAATTAATGGATAACATTATCATACGGTACATTTGTAACACTTAATAATTTTTTATTAGTTCTCAATGAATTGACGCTTCTCAATTTCTTTCATATTTTAATAAAAGTAAACTGGTCATATATATAAATGTTTTGAAAATACAATTTTGGGAAAATTATTTATAAGTTCTATTAGGGGGACTTATACTACATATGATTCTACAAAAAAACTTATGTTTCCCATAAGTCCTGTGTGAAGTTTGTTGACACATTTACCCTCAATATTAGTTACGTAACGTAACGTAACGTGACCATATCAGATGGGACATTACATAAACGTAACGTGACACCTACATAAACGTAACGTAACGTGTCACGTTTCGTTTCGCAAACTTACTAGGTTTTTTATTTTTTAAATTGATTGTGAAAATGTTACTTGTTCGTGTATTTTGAAATTCACATTCATATAGATTTGATCTATGGTAACATTCAATTTTCTATATAGGAAATTGAATGTTACCATAGATTAAGTTTGCGAAACGTAACGTGACACCTACATAAACGTAACGTAATGTGCTCATATCAAATGGGACATTACATAAATGTAACGTGACGTGACACCAAAAAAAAAAAACGTAATATAACGTGACACATACATAAACGTAACATGATACCTACATGTTACGTTACGTTTCGCAAATAGGATCTTGTGAAATACATTCCTATCTAAATAGGATTTGAAACTTTATAAGAAATTATACAGAACTTAACCTAACATAAGTGTCTGAAATAGGACTTATAAATAAGTCTCCCTAAAATTTTATGGGTTAAAAACAATGAGGCATCACTTAATGGAATATAACATCACTAATAGGAATTTTAAGTGATTAATCTTAAAATTAATTGGGTTAGTAAAGGGGATTTAGGAAAGAACACGGCAAGAAAAATGAGAAAAATTTTACTATATACATTTTTTGAAAGGGGTGTATTATATGTATCTGTAATTATTTTATCAACAATGATTCATCCCACTAAAAACATCACCACTAATGGCACTAATGCATTAAAAAAGTTAAAAAAAAAAAAATACAACTCCAAGACCAAAACATCACATCATTAATGGCGGGACCCACTGCCACCTAATTAGTGGGAGCACTAATTAGTGCTCCCAAGCATTTTTCTTATGTTATTTATTTCTTTAATTATATTTCATATTTTCTTTATTATGATTTTTTTAAAAATATAACTAAAAAATTATGAAATTATATTATTATTTTAAATTATAATATATATATATATATATATACATGGTATATAAAATAGGGTCCAGCTTGTCTCAAGTTAAGATCAAGACTAGACCCGTCCAGTTCGGCTCATGGAGCCTATTTTTTGGGCCCGTTTTAATAATCTGAACCGTCAATGTGTAGAACTCGTCGAGTACTACATGCCTATAAAACATCATGTTGATCGGGTATCAATAGTTATGTGATCAAATCAGTTTTGTATTAAAAAAAATGGACGGTAAAAAAATTAACGGTTGATAAAAAACTGTTTTGTTCACATAGCTATCGATATTTGATCAACGTGATTTTTTACAGGCATATAATACTCAACGAGTTTTATACATTAAACGATTCAAATTATTAAAACGGAACCCGTGGTGAGTCCCCACGGGCCCAACAGCAAAGCCACTGCCTATAAAATATGTACCAGGAAAATGGTCACATAGGGAGACAACTATGAATGAAAGAGAGAGAAGATACATAATACTCATATTAAAATAAAATAAAAAATCCATAAAATAACATTTGTCACCTCCTACCCAATCCCAGTAGATCCCGTTCCAGTTCGGCACTCTGTTGATCTATCCACATCAGCCGTCGCTACTGTGTCCACCTCCAAATAATCTTTTTCATTTAATGTTATCCCACATCAAACACCGTCATTTAAGATTGATTTTGAATCGAAAAAAAGTTGGTAGATTGAATCGAAAAAAAACATTTAAAATTGATTAGTATTAGGGGTGTAATTTGAGCGGCTTTAATCCGAATAATTCGAACTTAGTTAGAATTTTTTTTAAAATTTTGACAAGATGTTTTTAAATTTA